GTATACCATTCAATATAAATAATTTTGGTGTTATTCAATAAATATAAATATTAATTTAAATTTATTTACTGTTCAGTATTAACATAAATACGATATATGCTATAAATATTTACCTTGCTTTTATGTATAATATAATAAATGGTAAACTGAGAAGCTTCCCTATAGTATATCTGCTAGTAGCCATGGCCTCCTACGAAATGCATTTTATCCTCATATAGTCGCACCACACACGGAAACGAAATAAATCGAGGGCGAAATGAATGGCCTCAAAAGGATGAATGGTCAGTTTGAAGGCAAGACAGAAAAAATATAAAAACAACAACAATAAAAAAATAACAACAACAACAACAAAAGCAATAACAACAACAACATCTGGTAAGTTACGAAAAGCAAAAATATTGAAACGAAAAATACAACTGACAAAATTTTATTTCGTTTTATTTGCAAAGCGGAGCACTCCATAAATTTTCGGGCGCTCAATATTGTTTCAGATCATAAATCATGGCTGCATTTGCGTACGGACGTACATTTCAAACACACACATACACACACACATATACATATCTACTATATTCACACACGCAGCTGCATTCGTATGGCAGAAGGTTTGAGGCAGTGGAAACTCGGGTACTCCATCTGCATCTGCAATAGCCCAGACACCGACAGAATGTACCTTGTATCTGACATTGGGCTGCAGATGCAGATGCACTGCAAAAAAGCGCACACTAAAACAACAACAACAGCAGCAACAACAACGACAAGCAAAAGGCCAACAGCAACAGCAACAACAACAACAACAACAATAGCAACATGCATTCATAGTGCATTTGTATAAAGTCAATGCCGCTGCACTTGTGCCCCGGCGTATTCGCATCCGCATCACGAGCTGCACCCCTGCCCCACCAGTCCACCACCCTCGTTGCGTTGGCGTATGGCATGCAAATGCAGTGGGAACGGGGGACGGGGGACGGGTGACGTGCAGCGGGTCTATAGGCTGGCCAACTGAAGTGGTCTGCAAATTCACATTAACGCAAATTCCGTAAGTGAAGTATGTTGCATTTGCCGCACGTAAATTTAAAAAGCGCGGCACAATAACAAAACATCGCTCGCTTATTTACAGAACACACAGATACAGATGTGCAAACAGAGACACAGACACGGACACAAGCACAGATACATTTACAGCTGTGGCTGGATTTGGCGGAGTCTCCGTCACACAGTCGGAACCGGAGCTGGAGTAATTGAAGGAGTCAGCTCTCTGCAGCCAGCCACAGCCACAGCTACAGCTGCATAGGCATTCGCATTCGCATTCGCATTCGCACTCGCACTCACATATTTGAGATACATAAATCTTGCGGATGAGCGTGTGGCACTACTGCCGGACAGCCAGCTAGCCAGCCAAGTGGGCAGCTACTGGGCTAGAACTTGGCTGACTGGCGATTGGGGGTCAGCAGCAGCTGTGCCGCAGTCGGCGTGGGTGCAAATATTGGAAATATTTAGCTATTGAAACGAGCAGGCAAGCAAAAGAATAGAACAACTGCCCGCAGACTAAATTGAAACTCTGAATTTTTGTGTACCGGCACTCAAAAGTTATTAAGCTGGCAATAGAATCGGAAAGGAATATATATAGCCACCATAGTCAGTTCATAGAGAAAACTTAATATCAAAACGATTTTAAAGAAGTTTTCCAATTAATATCTAATATACTTAATCTTGACTTAATATGTAGTATAAATTCATATAGTATATAAAAATTTATTAGATTTTGTTTTCTATATATGTATGTAGATATACGATTATCTACAATTTCCTTAATGCTAATGATTTTCACACTTCATCGGCTCTAAGCTAAAAACTTGATATATTATTTTAGCGCTCTGCTTTTTGAAGAATATCGATAGATTATATAAAACCAGAGAGGTGTTTCTGCACTCTCAGTTAAATACACATTTCATTTCGTTCAAATATTTCCATATATTTTTTTCAGGTTGCCACCTACATATATTTTATTTAAATATATCTGATATTTTTGCCTATGAAACACTTCTTATATGACCCACGTCGACCATCACCAATTAAACCCATAAAAAATGTCAATGCTGATAAACTCGCTTGCCAAAATACTTAAACCCTCGCTCTCCCCCTGCGCTGGTATGGAATGTGGCCAAATGCAATCCTTTACCTTTAACCGACTACAGATGGCGCTTTAACGCGATGGCAATCCATCTGCGGCGCTAATAAAAGATTTCGCTAAATTGATACTGTCGATGGAGTAATTAAACTGCAATTTTTATGAGACATGTCGGACAGAGGCCGCTGCTATCACAGATCGAATAAATTATATTCACTGGCTATTGAACGCACTCGCCTCTCTCTTTCTCTCTCTCTCTTTCACGCTCTTTCTCTCTTGCACACACACACACATATATATACACGCAGAGTCTCCTGTGCATTGTTTCTGGCCGCATACGCCGGCTCGTTCGTTTGCACGGTAAATTTTGCGATGCAATTTTCCCGCATTCCGACTCTTGTTCCGGCTGCGTCACGGCGTGCTGTATTTTGTTTTTGGCACGCAAATAAATTTTTGGCCAAAGTTTTGAGCTCGTCTGATTGCATTTTAATTTCCCGCCTTTGCGTTTGTATTGAATTGCAGTTGGCTCGAACTTCGTGATTGCCAGCTAATGATTGTCGCCTCCCAGCTCCTGCTGCCCTGCCCTCCACTCCCTCGGCTGACTTGGATAGAAAGCCTGCCTGGCACACATTCAAATGATTTCAAATGCAAATTTCAAACAGCTCCAAATTGTAATAAAAGAATGTACAAAAAAAAAAAAAAAAAAAATGCTCTCACCATGAAGTTGTTAATTTTTATGACGTCATTACTCGCCTCGTAAAATCCGCTCAACAGTTGGCCGTCTGCTCCGTGGAGCAACAGGCGCTGGCAATGAAGCCTCATTTTTATGAACTGGAGCTGGAACTGGTACTGAGACTGCGACTGGGACTACGACTACGACTGGGACTGATACTTGTGTTTGGGTTTGGGTTTGGGTTTCGAAATCTGCGCAATTCAGCTCGAAAGTTGTGAGCTTTATTTGCAACCGGAATTTTATTGTTATTGCGCCATTTATGAGTTTTACGAGAATCGCCTGGTTTTCCAGTTCGCTTCTAATTGGGGGTCCATTGTTTTGGGCTGTTGGCGCGCTGACTTGTCACGATGAGCCCATGAATCAAAGGCGTCCCTGAATTGGTGACATTTCAACACTAGACACTAAAGGTTACAGTCAAATTATAACTTGTGAACTTAAGCTGACTTGAATAGGTGTGAAAATCCTAAAATATGTGACATTAATCGATTGTCAAGGAAAGCATGCTCTTGTGGCTGAACTTAGAAGAACTAAAAATAAAGGAAGTAATTAAAAATCTGAGTGCTTATATAAATATGAAGTCTTCTGCGTAATATTTTATATTATTTATATTTATTTCTTTATTCTAACTCCTATTGTGTTGACRGCTTACCAAGCTTCACAATTTATAGAAACCTTGACTTTAAGTTCTAATTATATTTTATACGAATTATAAACCTCTCATATTTTCTATTCGCTCACTTCCTAATTTCTTGTCCGCTGCTCGCCTCTGTCAAGGGATTGAATTTCCGGTAATATAAGGCCTTCATATTAGATAATTGTGGAAGAGGTGAAATTGAGGTGCTGCTGTCATTCAATCTGCCGCCCACCCGCTGGCTGGAACATTTATGCGCCATGTTCTACTTATATTTTTATGGCCGCTCCTTGCAACTCAAAACCACAGCCACACACAAACACACCCATACACACACCCAATCAAGAGACTAGAATGGGTTCCATAGACTCAGGCATTCACCTCGGCACATACTCGAAAAGTGAACGAGCAGCATATTTAAAACATGGATTCTTAATTAGTAGCAAATGTATCCCATTTGCATTTTTTCAACACGTTGCCAGCGCGATTCACGTACACATGTATACACAGAGGCATAGCCGAACTACGGTCTGTGCGCTAGTTAACACCCCCTGGATGGCTGGCCCAACCACTCCTCGAGCCGGGAGCAAATTAGTCGAGAGCCCGAAGCTGAGCTGCGTGCTGCGTGCTCTG